GCCCGTGCTTCGCCGTCTATCAAACAATCCCGCCCGAGCACATTCCCGCCAAGCCTCTATCGCCTGCCAGACCGCCCAAGCCTCCACCGCCTTCTCGCTCGATCCAGTACCTCCCGCAACATCCGCTCCTCCGCCGCCTGCTCCTCCCACCGCCGCAGCGCCCCCGCCAGCCCCCTCCTGGTCCAAGATGCCGCCGCCCGCCTCAGCTGACCTCTCTCCCGCTTCTCCGTCCGCGCCCCCTCCGCCCACCGGCTGAACGCCCCTAGCGCGCTCCCCTTCCACCACCGCCCCAGCGCCTTCCTCCCGCTCGCCTTGAGCCGCGCCTCCTCCTCCACGTACGCCCGCCAGCGCTCCCACGCCCGCCCTGCCCGCCCGTGCTCCATCCGCCCTACCGCCTTCGCCAAGATCCCCCTCTCCCGCCTTCCCGCCCGCGCCCCTTCCCGCCAAGCCTCTATCGCCTGCCCTGCCCGCCCTAGCCTCCACCGCCTTCCCGCTCGCTCCATCGCGTGTGTCTGAGTCTGAGTCTGGTATCCTTGATGAAGCTTGCGCTCTCGTGAGACCGCCTCTGCCGCCCGTGCCGCTACCGCCTCCATCGCTTGTTTCATGCTCGCCCGGAGCTCTGACGTCTCTGCCGCGATCTCCTCGATAGACTCTCGTAGCCCGTGCTTCGCCGTCTCCTCCCTCTGGGCTCCTACATACATCACCCACGCCTCTATCGCCTGCCCTGCCCGCCCTAGCCTCCACCGCCTTCCCGCCCTCTCCAGTACCTCCCGCCGCCTCCGCTCCTCCGCCGCCTGCTCCTCCCACCGCCGCAGCGCCCCCGCCAGCCCCCTCCTCGTCCAAGCTGCCGCCGCCCGCCTCAGCTGGCCTCTCTCCCGCTTCTCCGTCCGCGCCCCCTCCGCCCACCGGCTGAACGCCCCTAGCGCGCTCCCCTTCCACCACCGCCCCAGCGCCTTCCTCCCGCTCGCCTTGAGCCGCGCCTCCTCCTCCACGTACGCCCGCCAGCGCTCCCACGCCCGCCCTGCCCGCCCGTGCTCCATCCGCCCTACCGCCTTCGCCAAGATCCCCCTCTCCCGCCTTCCCGCCCGCGCCCCTTCCCGCCAAGCCTCTATCGCCTGCCCTGCCCGCCCTAGCCTCCACCGCCTTCCCGCCCTCTCCAGTACCTCCCGCCGCCTCCGCTCCTCCGCCGCCTGCTCCTCCCACCGCCGCAGCGCCCCCGCCAGCCTCCTCCTCGTCCAAGCTGCCGCCGCCCGCCTCAGCTGGCCTCTCTCCCGCTTCTCCGTCCGCGCCCCCTCCGCCCACCGGCTGAACGCCCCTAGCGCGCTCCCCTTCCACCACCGCCCCAGCGCCTTCCTCCCGCTCGCCTTGAGCCGCGCCTCCTCCTCCACGTACGCCCACCAGCACCTCCATGTGCTGTTTTGTGTTTTGAATTGTTTTGTTTTGATTGTTGTTTTGCACTTTTGGTTTGCTTGTGAACGGATGTAGAATAGTTGCTTCCATGCAAGCATGTATAGCTGAAGCATGTGCCTGTTCGCATTCGATGTAATCGCTTTGTTTTGTCTTGTTGTTTTGTTTAGTTTCCTCCAAGCACTTACTTTCTTCTTTAAATCACAACTCATACGTACTCTTTGCATTTGTATGAAACTGGTTTCAATTTGCTTCTTATGTTGTACTCTGTACCGCATAGCTATTATTATGTTTGTCTGACACCTACGGGTTCTTGATCTGTGTTTTGCATAACACAAGGCGCTAATGACAATGTTTCCATTATCAACCGAATTGCTTTGTCTCCAAATATCAAAAAAATCGTTGAGTAAACGAGAATTCTCTTTTGCACGCATAGAGGTTTGAAAAAGGGCCGATTGTTCACTCGAGGTGCGACAACTGTACCAGACAGAAAAATATCTCTGAGATATCTCCATGTTTTTGGCCGAAAGACAACTCATGATCGAAGACAAACGGGCAACATCAGCATCCTGATACTTGATTTCTTTGTCGATGCAATTGTCATAAGCAGTCAAGCAAGTCAAGGCTCTGAAACTCTTTTTCTTCTGTCCGAGACCGTACCGCCTGAGTAGAGTACGATTGAGTCTCACGGCGTACCCTTGAATTCGAGAGTGATACTTCCAAACTATCAGAAATAGTCGTAGAACCATTTCGGTTGTCAGAGAAGACGTCTCTATAAGCTCTGTTTGTGGTTTTATCGTTTTGTATAGAGCGTCGAAAGCCTGGCGGTAAATCAGTCTCTCCCTGCTGCGCTGTACCTGGAAAACCGCCGTTTTGAAACGCGTTTGAGCGTTCACGTACTGCAGGACAAATAGTTACAAAACCTCCAAAGAAAATCTTCACACTTACCATCTTCCATGAACTCCAATATGTTTCGAGCATCACACGATGCATTGCGCGACCCAATCTCTGAATGGCATCATAGGGTATGATTTTAGACTCCAGGTATACTCTCCAGCCCATGAACGAATTCCGAATAGAAAGAGTGAAGCATGCCATCTCCCAGATGTCTTTGAAGTACATGAGCGCTCGTTTGTACTTATGGCTGAGCCTCCATGCCTGCAGGGCCCTGCGCATGAGACTAACGAGGCTTACGATCTCAATCAGGTCGCGTTTTCTCTCCATCCGCTTCTGATGGTGCAGCATGCTTCTCCAGGAGGCTATCGCCTTGTACTGCAGCATCCTCGCGCGCCCTGAAACAGGGCCTCCCATCCCCCTGTCCTGCCGCGTTCCCAACATGCGCCCGCGCTCGGGGTCGGACGTCCGCGTCGGAGTAGATGAAACGTCTCGTCAAACATTGAGAGGCATGTAGGGGGATGAGGGCGATAAAACTTTCCGCCGCTCATGCCATGCCATGCCATGATGGCCGACTACGCCGTGACTCGGACTACAATCAACCGGGGGGCGACCGGCGCGGAGCGGCCCGCGGCGGGCTCCGGGTCTCCGATGATCACTGAGTGCTAGAGTGCACTTTCTGTCGGCGATGAACTTGAAATTTCGGGTCGCGCCGGGCCCCCCCGGGCACGCGCCGTTGCCAAGTTGGCGGGCTAGGCCCGGCGGCGGCGGCAGTGAATCATCAGGACAGTCCTAGTCACGCCCGGCCGGTCCGAGACCCGGCCGGGCCCGGTCCCGAGTCCGCCGCTCTCAGCAGAGTCACGGCGCCCGTGACTCGGATGCTTTCAAGCCTGTTTAAAAATCAGTCGGGGAGGACGGATTGAATCACCGGGAGAGTAGAGGAGGCTTGACCCTAACCGTGTGACTGCCGCACAGGCCATACGGAGAGAAGAGAAAAAGAAACTTCTAGTAGCGGCGAGAATCAACCCACTTCCGCGGAACTTGATGCGGCGGCCACTGGCACTGAGGCGGTGGCAGCGCCCGGCGGAAGGACAGGGAGGCCTTGAGAGACGTCTTGCGAGGCCGAGAGACCATCCAGCGCTGCCGTTTCGTTCATTGTTCGCCGAGCGATCCGGCGCCAGCCACCGGCGGACAGAAACCGTGACTGACTCGTGACACTGGCAAGTGACTGAGTGACGTCCTGCCATGATTCGGTGCGCCAGGGGCGGGCCTGAAAGGATTTTTCAACTAAAAAAAATGATGATAACCGGGGTAGGGTTCAGACAAAATAGAGGACTGAATTCCTCTACTACATGAAAGTTAGGAGCGAAATGTTATAGTGCCACTCTAAGCTGAAATGGCCAAGTGGTTATGATGAGGACTACAGGTGTGGGGTCACATCCAAAGAGCAACAAAAGGAAGGAGGGGTAGTGTAATGACCACGACTGTTGCTCGACGATTAGCCTGATGGCGAGAAATCGCACCCGGTGACGAAGAAGGAGAGCAGGAGGACAAGAGGGAGGCAGTGTTTGCTTGCTACTGAGAGAGTTGCTGCTGGTGTGTGATCCAGTAGAGAGGAACAAAGACAAGCAGCAACGTGTTTGCTCGCGGAGCAAACACGTTGCGGTCTGAAGATGGACGTACTGGACATCAACCCTGACTTTCGCACCGGGCATACCCCGCTGTCTCTCCAACGTAAGTCAAGTATTCAGCGAGAAGTGGAACGCTCAGATTCTTCAATAACAGCTGCGCCTACTATAAGTCCACCAGGAGCTTTGTTTCGACATCATGTCATCATCAACATGTCCTGTCCCACTCCGGCCGCAAGGATCTTTTACACTCTGGACGGGACCGAGCCGGGAACACAGTCGGCCCTCTATTGCGAGCCCATACTCCTTGAAGCGCCAGGAGCAACTCTAGTGATGGCATGTGCCATCAAGGCAGGACGCTACGTCAGTCAAACCTCCAAAGCCTTGTTTTCAAGAATCCAAGAGAGGCCTCAGTCGGTGAACGAAAGTCGAAGAGAGAAGGTGCCGCTCCTCCCTCGTCCAGCGACATCCATGGGGAACCCTACCCACGAATTCGCATTAGATCTGCGAGTGCACTCCCCGTCTGATCAACTTTGCCATGGAACCTCGAGCGGTGTTGCAGGAAGGAAACCACTGTCAGTTCGTTACCGAAAATTTTCTACAAGGAATAGCAACCATGAACTTAGAAATGCTTTATCCTCATATCAATCCATATCAGATGGTTTTTTGACAAGACATCGAAGCTTGATGTACGCCCGTATGAAACAAGGCAATGACGAAGAGGTGAAGAGGACATTCGAAGATAATTTTGACTGCACAACACTGGAAACTCGTCTTGGTGACCATGTGGGAATGACCTCCTCTGATAGGCCAAGGGAATGGAGACTCAGACAACCAACAATAACATTCGCTGAGAGCAATCTGAAAAAGGAAACATCCTCAGAGCTCGATCTGAGTGCGAACGATATGAAAACTTTGCCAATCCTTCTATGGGACGATGACGCTTTCGAGTCAGATGGAAGCAGCGATCAAGAGCATGACTTGACAAGAAAGTCAATGGCTAACATACCGATACAAACAGCCACCGAATCTGCAAGTTATGGTTGGACTGAAATGCCTGACAAACAGAATGGGGAAAATAAAACAGAAGGCAATTTTGATGCTCATCATTTTGGAGAACTCGTAGAAAACGGTAAGCTTGCACATTCGAAAGGCAACCTGAACAAAGCAGACAGCAAGGGAGATACGTCTGAACGAGAAGTCAAAACACTATACGCTAGTGGATCTGACGTTGTCTCAGTGGATATAATGAATGAAAAATACGTCGACAGAAAGGAAAACATGATGCAGGACCAAGTTCAAAACTTAAATCATCTTGATCATCAACAGTTTCAGACTTTACGTCCAACAAAACACAAAGATGCACAGCATGAAAAAGTCACGAATGATATCACTCTTGAACCAATCAAAGAAGAAACACTATGTGAAGCAAAGTCTGATGTCGGAGACAATCATGAATTGCAATCAGATCCAAAACCACCTTCCAAAACATACCAATTCAACATCAAATCAAACTCCATACACAAGCCCGAAAAACAGTCAAAAATGAACGAAATAGGCGAAGAAATCAACAGGGAGGAGGAGGCCGGTACAGGCGCGGCCCCAGGCGGGGACGACGGAGGGGCAGAAGCAGGCGGCAGCGGGCAAGAGGAGGGCGGAGCGGAGGCGGGAGGAGAGCCGCCGCAGCAGGCGCCTGACGACGGGGCAGGGGCAGGGCAGGAGGGCGGGGAGGGCGGGGAGGGCGGGGAGGGCAGCAGCAGGGAGGAGGAGGCCGGATCATCTTGCTGAATCCGTTCTGGCTCGAGCTGTCCTGGAGCTGCAGGATGTGT